CTCATATTGGCCTATACTTCATCGTTTACGATTCGACTTACTCCCCCGCCTTATGTATATAAACCATTTTCCTCTTCCACACACTTGTTCTGCCTTTCACTGGCTGTTAACTAATTACGCATTAGTTCAGAAATAGCGATTGTTCCATATATTTCTGTACTTTTTTTAGTTTTCACTGTACTTTTCTCGATTTATAATTATGTTTTTAACATCTATGGAATGAGGAATATTTTCCGCTTCTAACATACGAAAAGGTTCATGTTCGGTAAAATTCCTCATTTGTTTCGGAGTTCGAAAAAAGGAAGTTTTGATGCCCTACATAAAAGCATAGACATATCTCTGAAGAATAAAACCTTGCCTAAGCGGTTCCTTCCGGACGGTCTAGTGCTGGTGCACTTAAAACAGGAAACAGACTCCTGGATCGCCATCAGATTGCCACCACTGGTCAAAATAACCAAAAAAAGCTGCCATCTGCATAGCCGGAAAACCGTACCTTGTGTAACGAGGAGTGGGGTACGTGATTGATAAAAGTATTCTAAATAAAAAATATAAAATGGGGAGAGGGGGCAAGAGGCAGGGAGGCATAAACGGAAAGGGTCGAGGCAGAAAAAGGCGGAAAAAAAAGTCGTTTCGTTTTTCTGTTATTCTGGGATTTTCCAGGCCATTTGTCAGCAAATGCAAGAGCAGGCTATAACGCGAGCAATTATTGTTGTACAGGCAGGCATGACACCTTCTGCCAAACAGGTAATTTTTTTTTTAGAAAAAAAAGACGAGACAGTTGAATTATTTGAATTTCAGTATTTTGTCTTTTATCTTAAAAAAAATGCATTCTTTGGGGAGAGGCCCTTCTGGGTGATGAGGCGAACTGTGGAAAATTGGGTTGGAGGGCACAAAATTTTGGAGCACCTAAAATTAGGCTGAATCTGACGTTGGATCAACTAGAAGGTACGAAATTCGACTAGTGCATCACATTTTTCTTTCTGGATAATTTTTCAGCAAAAAAAAAGAAAAAAAAAAGACCGGACAATCTGGTTTTAAAAGTATAAAAATTTAGCAACAAAAAAAACTTGGTTGCTACAAAAAATGGGGCTTGAGGCGCCATTTTCCTCATAAAAAGCCAACCTTCTAGGAGAGTTTGCATGTTTCCGCTACTTTGTTAATATTTTTTGGCTTTTGTAGCTAATTCAAGTTGTATCAAAAATCAAATTTTTTAGTCTCCTTTCTCTACTGTAGAATTTTTTCAAAAAAAAAAGGTCAAAATTATTGCAGGCAATAAGCGATATGGCACCGAAATATACGTTGGAGCAGTTTTTGGAAGCCGAACTTATGGTTAATATAACGGAGCATGAGCTTGTTCCGGAACATGTGGTAATGACAAATGAGGAAAAGAATGAATTGCTAGCAAGATAGTAAGTTCCATACATTGTGATATCGTTTTGAAACAGATTAAGGGCACTTTATGGGCATAGACGGACCTAGTGGGGGAGGGGTCTTTTGCCTCCCCCCCCTCCCCCCCCCGATCCCAGGAGCTCAGGTAGCAGCTGTTTTACTGTAGAAAACTCTGTTTTCCCTTTCCTTCCCCTCCCCCTCTTCCTCCCCGCTTTCGCCCCTTCCGCCCGGTCGTCGCCGTAGTTTAGGGTCGGCTAGCGGGGGGAGGGGGGAACGACCGAGCGGTGAGTAACAAGGTGGCTGAGAGCGGGCGTGCAGTAACGAAGGAGAAGGGGAGGAAAAATCCCCCACCCCCTTCCTCCGTCCCCCAAGAAACCGCCCTGGATTTGTCTATGATTATGGGGAGACAATGTGCGATGCGAGTGGAGGCAGACAACAAAGAACAAAAAGATTTAACATAGCTGCATTTCCGAGCAGGTTTTTATCATATTCGTATCAGATTTTATAGTATTCTTCAGCTTCTGTTTAAAATTTACTTGAGATTTACTGTCTTGACAAATGAAAATGAAATTTTGACCAGCTATCCATTTATAGTCTA